CGCCAGGCAATTACTTGAAGCAAGAAAAAAAAGCAGAAGAAATTTCGAAAGGCAATCCTGAAACTGGCAGTAAAAAAGCCAGCTAGAGGCAGTACTGTCATAAGTGTTAACATCAGTTCTGCCTAATTCAAACAGCAAAGAGAAAAGGTATTCAAAATCTTTCTCGTTTCTCCGTCAAATCATTGAATCTAATTTCAAAAAAGAATAAACTGCAGTACTGCTGGTGGGAAATAGTCCCAGGAACGAAAGCGTTTTCACATTTCCAAATACAATGATCTTGTAGTAAAAGAAAGTGACACATCACTGAAATTATTCGAATAAACTGCGTGCAAATCTTGATGTTCGTGAAATCAGACATAAATCTGATCAATCATTTTGACTTCACAGCATATTTGGCTTTCTGTCGTTCGATTATCTGTAGAAAACGGATCTAATTAGGGAGAATCAACGACTTAAAAATCCACACTCTCAAGCAAAATCAAAATCAACCAGTAACAATTTTATTTAATTTTTGTCCGAAAGCTTACTTTTTTTTCAAAGCACTTAGGCAAGGCATGCATAAAATACGGGTTTGTTTTGGCTTGAAAAGCTCAAACAGACAAAGTTTTGCAAACATCGGTGAATGTTATTGCTAGAACAACTAAAAAGCGAGCCATACAAGCAGCTCCTATTGGAATGATTGAGAGTTTTGCATAAAAACGAGTTCTCCATCTCCAAAAAAAAAAATCCAAAAATAAAGTAAACCTCTTGTGGCACAATTTTCATATCATATGCCAATCCAAGCAAAATCAGGAAGTCGATAAAAAGCTTGGTAACATTCAGATGCAGCACATATTCGGATGTCCGATAATCTTGTGGGAACGTGTGGTGATAGTTGTGGCCACCTTCACCCATCGCTGTTGCTGCCAGCTGAAAATGAAAGTGAGGAAGTGAGTGTGATGGTCTTACGGATGACAAGATAGTTTGAATAGTCTCAATAAAGTAAATGGCGGTAAACAGCGAAATTAGGGAATGAAAGCCGATGGGTACTTCAAATCTGTTTTTTGAGATGCCGCAATCGTCTATATGGCAAGGTAAAAAGTGCGAAAAAACTGAGTAAAAGTGGCAGAACTCAAATAAAAGAGGAAAAAATCTAGTGGAAAAGCAGAAGGGGTTAGCCATGAAAGGCTGAATAGAAGGATTAAAAAATTGGAAAAAAATATTAATTTTACCGCTTAAAAAGTTTAAAAAAAAAAGAATTTTAAGCAAGTGAAAGCAAAAATGGCAAGGAGCTACACTGGAAAAGAACACTTTTGGCCAATGATACATAACACCAGCCCAATGAAACCAAAATTAGGGTGCACTAATGCCTTTTAAATAATCTGGTATGCAACTGCATAAAGCTACCCTCAGTATCCAACATACGCTTCTGTGCATTCTTCGAGAATAAAAACAGTAAAGTCGGCTTTAAAATCGATAACATGGCAGTCACATCCTGGCATATCAGAACAACTAATTCACATCAATGCTCCTGCTCCTCATTTTCGCGCACATACAGCAAACGAATGCGCTTAAACATCGGCAGTGATCTGTGTGAATACGATGATACTACAATTGTATGGAGTGCTGCCGTGGAAAATCTTCCTGTTGATTAGATGCAGCTGCGTACTGGACGCAGCTACGCCAGATTGTTCTCATCGGTTATCCATTATTTCCACCCCTTATGTGTACCACCTCTTCGGACAATACTTATTTTCTTTTTCACGAATACCAACCACTAGTACGCCAGTCCGCTACATCAGCTAATCTAACAAATACAAAAATATGAAAGCAGTAACGAACTGAAAAACAGACCACTAATGATTCCACAGGTGAGATATTCGGATTATACGGCCTGTAACCGTATTTGTGCGCCGCTGAATTGATCAACCATGTGCCATGCAAAGCCAAACAATATCTGTCGTAAGTACTCATCATTACAGGCAGTCAAATTTGCAAAATACTGAAAACGGCGTGCACGAGGAGCTCATGCGTTTTGTGAGCAAGTGTAACTGAGTTCAGTGTGTTTTTGTACTCCATCAAGATGAAAAGGTGCATAGAAATAGAATCGCTTGCTTATATACGTCTATATGCATATGTGTATGTGTGTGTGTGTGTGCGCGTGTGTGTTGTGTATGTGTCCATCTGTCTTACCAAGTATTCAACTGTAGAATCAGGAAGCTAGCTAAAATTTTATGAAGAAAGTCCTCAAACGCGTATGAGGTGGCGAAGCTGAAATCAACTTTCAGATGTTTCTGATCACTGACTTCTGCGTCTCAGGCTGTTCGGCAAATTCCATATTCCGAAATCAAAAAGATCTGGCATTCTCAAACTCTGGAAAGAAAATCCCTAATTTAATCCAAACCGATTGAAGTCCCTAAGTTTTGAACACTTAG